TTATGTTTGAGGGAAGGCCCAACTTGGAACCGGGCCTCTGCTCTCAAACCTAGCTTTGGTGCCAAGTTGCCATTTCGAACAAATCTGAACTAACAACAAAGAAGAGGTTTTTTTGAGGCCACAGAAAGGGCCTTTCTTTCATAAACAAACTAGTGCAGTGAGCTGGCTCACACATGTGGGATTCCAACTAAGGATATGAGGTCTGAAAGGATGGCTTTCACCTCGGAAAGCTTATTTTTCTTGAGTGTCCTGTTTTGAGGCAAACAGTATCTCAGCCCCATAAACTGAGGCATGTCCATTGGGAGCAAAAGTGAAGGAAGGCTGCCATCTTTTTGGGAAGCCAGATAAAAAGCTAAACAGTGCTTGGGAGACACAAAACGGTCCAACCAATGCATTAAGATGTTCTTGGGGGTAGAGAGATCCAGGCACAAGAAGAAGAGCATTTGCAAACAGGACCTGCCCTATGGTGGCCCCAATCTCTGCGGCTTCCACTCCTAGCTTTGTGACCATGTCAGCAGACTGGAGCAGGAGGCAGGAGAGCACCTTATGTCGGGAGGGACTTCTTGGCTCTTGTTTCCCACCCTGAAGCTGAAGAAGAAGAGAGGGTCTTTCCTGTTTCTGCCTCAGCTGTAGATGTGGTGTGGGGCCCAGGACCACCCAGGCCATTCATCGTCTCTGGGCTTGCCAAAGGAACCCTTTGGGAAGCCTGGCCCTACAAGGGCCGCTTGCTATCCAAGATGGCCTTCCAATTGTCAGCCCATGAGTGGAGCCTGCGACGGGGAGGATGAAGCTCCAGGTGCTTGTTGTGGCAGGCTGTGAAGAGGATGTGCTCCCAGCTTGGCCTTTTCTCGGCTCCTGGAAGGTACAAGAAACAAAATGCTCAAGAGATCAGCTTGGTCGTATCATGGCCAGACCCAGGAGTGTAATTATGGGGCAGGAGGGAGAAGGCATTGCCACCTTCATAAGAATTCTGCCCCCCCCACATGAATTCAGTCCCCAAATATCTAGCATTGCAGAGACTGAGACACTGAGAGTCGTTCTTACCTAGAAGTCTTAGATTTGCTGTGCTCACATTCCCTTGGTTACTATGTATTTTTTAAAAAAATCTTGTCTCTGTTATCCAAAATGCTTGGGACCACAAGTGTTTTGGCTTTCATTTTTGTTTTATTTTGGAATATTTGCATACACATAATGAGATATCTTGGGAATGGGACACATGCAACATGGTGCAAAGATCCCATAACCTGGAAGTAATGCCCCCATTCACCTGGAAGTAATTTTTTCAATTAGGAAATGCTTTTTTGGTTACATATAGGATTATGGCCACCTATAGGTGTGGCCCCAGAGGATTCTAGAGCTTAGAAAATAGTCCCTGGGTCCCTAGCCCCATGGGTGTCCTCTCTCAGGGGTCTTTACCTATGATATCAAGTCTGTCATCAATCAACAGGTCACCGGAGACCACCGTCTTATCCCTGGTGAGGACAATATGCTCCAGAAACTCTTGGCCCAAATGCTTCTCCACCCAGGCATACTGGAAAAGAAAAAAGAGGAAGAAGAAAGGGTAGAATAAAACCACTGGTATGTAGAGATCGGGAAAGGATATGTTTCTCTTTCCCAATGAGGCAATAAACAGCAAACCACATTGAGTAATAATAAAAAGACAGAACAAGTGGGAGGAAGACAGAAGGAACTTGAGCTTAAATTCCGAGTCAAGACTTGGGAAGTGGAGGGCTCTTCCGGTTTGGTCTAAAGAAACAGGATTTAGGCTGCATCCACACTGTGGAAAGGTTATAACTTCCAAAAGGTTCTAACTTCCAAAAATCAACCTTGCTTTTGCTATTTTATATCAGGGATATAAACTACACCATTGTGTTTAATGGGACTTGAGCATCCACAGAAATGTCATTCAGATTTTTTTTTTAAATAAAGAATTGTAGCTACCAACCCTGCGACCTCCTGACACATTTGCCCCAAATGGAGGAGCCCTTAGACTCAAGATGGCTTTGCATTTGTATTTTCTATGGTCAGAAGGAAATAAATCAGTCCCTAGTGAAGGCAACC